GAGGTCGATGAATGAGAGGCTTGAAGGGTCTTTTCGTAGTAATGGTTATGCTGGTCACCATTGATGCCGCTGAATGTACCGCCTTTGATTGAGAAGTTTTGTGCATTGGAGAAGAATTCAGACATGGCAGAGGAAGGTGATGGGTTTGGGGGATGATGGGTCGGCGAACGACACAGTGAGTACGCCGTGTAATATGTACCAGCAACCACGCTAATACCATGTGTTGAGGAAAATTAACACAGGCGTCTATCTTGACGTTTTGAATGAATCGCCTGCGGGCGTCTCTGGAGTCAAAAATACTGTGTTAGCCATCTTCCCCACTTGTTCTCCCCCACTACAATCGTCCCGTCGAGCTATTTGCTACTCGTTCTGTACCTAACAGAAGTCCAAGTCCATACCAGATTATGGATTTTACGCCAGTGTTGCAAATACCGCAGCCATCAATATGAACCCTTCATCAATATGCTGTCGAGCGCCAGCGTTACGGTCTCACTTCCAAGTTATCACGGAAATAGACAGTACTCACGTTGAAGACACGCCTTCACCTCGATTTGTGCTCAAGATAGCTCCAACGGTATCCAAGTTATGGATACCTTCATCTAAGTAGAAGGGACATCGCTCGAGTGAGATCTGGGGTTGACAGGGCAAGTGGATGCACCACAGCACCAATCAGTGAATTGTGGTTAGTGTAGGACGAAGGAAAAACACACGCGTAGAAAGAGAGCTCATTGGTTGACGAATATCACGACAAAGAGTTGATATCACGGCGGGGGTATTCCTTAAAGCAATCAAGAACCATTCAGGTAACATGTGTTGAATAGAAGCAATGCCCAAGGCCTTTGACGCGCGCCAATCGTGATGTTGAATGAATGAGCTGATGTGCCGCTGGAGTTGAGGTCCGTGCTATCGATTTGCCTTCCTCGTTCTCTGCCATTATAATCAGCTTTTTGAGCTATATGCTATTCGTCATTCGCCAGGCTGGCTTCCAGGCTGATAGGTACCAGACTTTTGCCTTTACGCCAGCGCTACCAATCCCAAGCTTATGATATGCAACTTCCATCAAGATGCTGTCGACCGTCAGCAAATTGTTCCTAATCCCGACCAATCACAGCAGTAGAAAACACTCACATTAAAGGCACTTTACCTTGAGCTCGTGCTCCGAGAGCGTTTGAGATGTAATGAACGCTGTATACGGAGAGCATCGCTCGAGATCTGGGGTTGACAACACGAATGGAAGTACCGGGGCGCCTATCAATAGGTCACGGTCAGTGCAGCCTGAACGAAAGAACCCGGTAGGAAAAGAACTCACCGATCGGGACGGTCAAGGTATCACAATGAAGTATGAACAGTCAGATGTTAACGTATTGCTGGGAGGGTGAAGGAAGTTAGTGAAGTATACGTTTAATGAAATAACATCAATAGCGAGCAATTCGAAACGGGTGTTGTATGATTGGCAAGATCAATAGAAGAGACGTCGATGAACCAGCTTCTCGACACTCGTCACTGGCGGAAGGAGTATATACACTTGGAAAGAAACTGAGGCGGGTTCCAAAGCTTACCCTTTAATCTCCCTGTCTGTAGACTTGAGTATTCGGCAGATCTGAGAACACGGAGGGGGTCTCTCAGCCGTATCCTGCAATCACTCTGTACAATCCCGTGATTGTAGTTGTTATTGAGATCTACAAGCGATCAAAATACATGAATGTCTCGACTGAAAAATCATCAACCACCACTTGATAATCGTCCAGAACATTACGAACCTTGAGCGTATATACTTTGGATCCGAAACGAGCTGAAAGATAAAGCACTTGCGAGTTGCAATTTAGTAGCGAAGATCTCCCAACAGAGGTGATAACGCGGTATCCTTCGAGACAGAAAAGGTGTCTGAGGCTGTAAATGCCAAGTGGCAAGCCATGATCAACTCGAGACAAAGGAATGAGTGTACGTGTCACCCCAAAGAAACATCATGGCTCGTGCCATCTTCAATCAGCAGGCCTAGCATTCAAAGAGTGCCGGAACGCCGATACGTTGGATAGTGACGAAATGGACCTTTACAGCATCGGCGGCGGCGGAACCACAACGTCAGTTGAAGCTGCAGCACAGTTCTGCAATACTGACTTTCCAACGTACTCGAAGTCATCCCTCTGTAGTGCCGGATGCTGAATGGTGAAAGGGCAAGTTTTCGGAGGCACGTAAGTAATTGGTTAGAAGGATAACCGAGAAACTAAATGTGAGATTGTAAGGAATGAGTTCGTTAGCTCACGCAAATTTCGGTCGGTTAAATCAAGGCCATACCTCAGTCATCGAGCATACACCAAAGGCTGACGTTCTTGAGGTCATTCGTGGCAAAAAATGGAAGGAACGAGAAGAGATGGTAATGGTTGCGGAAAAAGTTGCACTGGTCCGGTTCCGTGTCTGGGCGCTCGTTTTGGCCTTTCAAAGTCCCATCTCCACTCCCATGTCAATTTGGAGTCTATGACCATAAGTCAAGTTCAAACACAATACTGGCAGGGAGCCCACTAAGCTGAAGTTGAATGTTGTGAGGTCTTAATCACATGTGTATAATGCCACTCCGGTCGCGTTCGAGACTGCGGTTAACTTTCCTAATTGTATGGCGGGAAGTCAAACCGTAATTTAATGAATGATACCGACCAGAAGAGCAATTATAGGTGCTGATAGCATCTTCTGGGCAATTTGCTGACCTGCACTATAAGATTCGATGTAAACCCCATATCTCGACCAGGTGCACGATAAAAGGAAGTAGAAACCCGGGTAGGCATCTCCAATTTGCGTGTTAAACGTAACCCACCCTTACCCCTTCGGTCTCTCAGATCATAGGGCCATAACGAGGCGACAGGGCTGTCAGACACGGCCATGCTGACTCGAAATCTGCTGAACTGGCCTCTTCCGTGGCTGGGATTCACGGGTTGTGATAACGAGGGTTAGAACTCCCGAACGACGTTCCGCAGTTCTCTTGAACCAACACCATTCGAATCATCATGTACTCTTATCAGTTCAAGTACGTGTCAGGGTCCATCTCAATTAGCTATCCTTGAGCCTCACGTTTCATTTCTCACCCCCTGGGTGTTCTGGTTGGGCGATAGCAAAGCATGGCCCATTTCTGTCATGAAGTCACCAGCCACGCACTTTCAAACATGATCTGTTGTGTTCCTGAGGCGTCAGTACTGTATTCTCAACGTAGTTTTTGTCATTTCCAACCTGAAGACGTACACGCGGAAAGCAAGATGTGAAGATGGATGGAAAGGGAATATTATATCGGATCAAAGGGGATGAACAAAGCGTACTGTATAACTCAAACACAGCCTTTCCAGATGTATCCACCAGCCTCTCTTTCATATAGTGTGTCCTAGGATACATCCCTATCCTCAACAGAGAAACAAAGGTAGTTTGACCAGCCTAAGACTAGTATCACGACACCACGAAAATAATCTCCGAAAGACATAAAAAAAATCAGTATTGAACAGCAATAAGATCCGAGACTATGACTTGATTACACCCAGCCGCCACGTTTGTGGAACATGGACGTTCCGGTACAAGGAGGATGGCGGAGGCACAGCCACCCAGAACGTCGGCAACGTCGGCAGTTCATCGGCAGAACCTTGCGTCTCCACCCAGCTCCACCAACAAGACTTAGAAAAGACTGTGGATATAGCATAGATCTCAGTCCTCACCTTTAGTTTCTCAGTATTCGCAGCACTAAACGGCCTCTATCATCCTTTGGAAAG